ACCCCCAAAACTGAACTTAGGGCCTGATGGTGAAAGTTAGTAGAATGAATAAATGAGGGGCTCCAGGAACCAGGTTACCCATATTCCCACCTCACCAGCTGTCCACTGAGGGCCACTCGGAGGAGTTTCATCATGTTACTGTGTTTGATGCCTTCCAGACCTTCTGACAGCTTCTTCAGTTCTCCATTCAGAACATCCTGGGTTAAGATCATACCGGGTCTTTCTAAAAGCCTAGAAGAGGGCCAGTCTGTAAGGAGTCAATGGCAAGTGGATGGCGGGAGCTCTTCAGAGTGTTACGGTATACACAGCAACAACATCAACAACACAAACAATGCTCCAGCCTGTTATGGGCACCACAGGAGTTTCTCTCACCCAAGATAGAAACTTTCTGTTAAGAGAAGAAATACAACCAAGGGACTATTTACACAGGAAATCCACATATGGGGCATACTATAGGGAATGAAAAGAGCTCGGGTACCATAGTGGGTTAGGGCCTTGTCACTAACTGCAGGGTAAGCAGTTAGAATCTACCAGTCATTCTGAGAGAGAAAGATGAGGCTTTCTGTTCCTGGAAAGATTTACAGCCTCAGAAACCCTATAGAAAGGACTGCTATGAGTCAGAACAGACTTGGTGGCCCAAACTACCAGCGCCACAGAGAACGAAGAAGGTACCATAACGAGAGGACTTACTAATTGCTACATCGGTTATGCAATCTTTCTGCTTCTAGTTTCTTATCTGCAACATGGCAATAACAACAGCCCCCCTGCACCTCACAAGGCTAAGGGGACAAGTGAAAATTTGTAAAGTGCTAAGTGAACACATGTTTAGTATTAGATTTAAATTTCAATTGCAAGTCAAGGGAAAATGTATTGTTGTCAAGTACCATCGAGTCAGTTCTGACTCATAGAAGGTTCCTATAAGGTTTCCAAGGCTGTTTAAATCTTTGTGGGAACAGAAAGCTTTATCTTTCTCCCACAGAGTGGCTGGTGGGCTCGAACTGCCAACTTTGTGGTTCGCAGTCCAGTGCTTATCATATGGAGCCATTGTGCTATTATTTATTACATCCACAGCTCCGGGATACTGCAGGGGGATCTCAAAAAAAACTTAGGAATGAGTTAGTCATTGGGTGGAATTATCTGAAGCGTCACACAATTTTCTGAAGATGGCAGGACTTGGGGTCATTCCCATGGGGATGCAGCATGGGAGACAAAAGGACTCAGGAGACCTGAGCCCCAGGAACGGCCCTGCCACCAACTTCCCGGGTAATCCCAGAAGAGCAAGAACCATTCAGGCTCAAAGTGAAGCATTTAAGGATCTAAAATGCAAAGGCCAACAAGCAGCAGCCCAACTCTCCTGGCGGCCCAGCTGAGCTCCTCTCACAAAACCAGATGTGAGTTTCAAGAGAAATTCTCCTATTCCGTGAAAGCTGGATGGTACTCAACAACAATATAAATGTAAATATGAATATATATACATAAATAAAAATAAAATGCAAATTATATATATATATATATAGTGGTGATGGTATGCTGTGGAGTCAGTTCCAACTCATAGCGACCCTGTACAGGGTTTCCAAGGCTGTAAATCTCTACGGGGGCCGAAAGCCTCATCTTTCTCCTAAGGAACAGCTGGTGGTTTTGAATTGCTGACCTTGAGGTTAGCAGCCCAACTCGTAACCCCTACGCTACCAGAGCTCCTTAAGGTATTATTGTGGTATTGTTGTTAAGTGCTGTTGAGTCAGTTTTGACTCATAGCAACTCTGTATAAGGTTTCCAAGGAGTGGCTGGTGAGCTTGAAGTGTCGACCTTGTGGTTCAAACGGACTTGGCTGTCCAGTGCTTTAACCCACAGCACCACAAAGGTATTATTAGAGATATCAAATTAAAGACATTAGAGAGGGACACTGGAAAGTTTTACTGGTACAACTGGTCCATGGAGTCAATTCTGACATCTCAGCTCGTGTCAGGGTCCAGGGACCTCCCTTCTAAAGGCTGGACCAATGTGAAGTGCAACAGGCTCAAGGAACAGGGTTCTGACATGATCTGGATAAACAGTCATTTGGTGCATACTTCCTAACTGCCAGTACCTGGGGTGACACTGTAGGATCACTGGACTGCTAACCACAAGCTGGTGATGGTATGCCGTGGAGTCGGTTGCAACTCATAGTGACCCTGTATAGGGTTTCCGTCTTTATGGGAATAGAAAGCCTCATCTTTATCCTGCGGAACGGCTAGGAGTTTTGAACTGCTGACTTCAGGTTAGCAGGCCAACTTGTAACTACTACACAACCAGAGCTCTTTCACCACAAGGTTGTTGTTGTTGTTAAGTGCCGTCGAGTCGTTTCTGACTCATAGCGACCCTGTACAGGGTTTCCGAGGCTATAAATCTTTACGGGAGCAGAACGCCTCATCTTTCTCCCGCAGTGCGGCTGGTGGTTTTGAACTGCTGGCCTTAAGGTTCGCAGCCCGATTCGTAACCACTACGCTACCAGAGCTCCTTTTAACCACAAGGTAGGATGTCCAAACACACCAGATGCTCCTCAGAAACCCTATACAGGTTGCTATGAGTCAGGACCAACTCAACGGCACACAAGTACTTGAGTAACTGCGCTTCCACTTAAAAATAACAGTTATTACATCATTAATTGGGCTACATGACTACTGTTACTTCCTAAATTAAGGAGATAAAACACTAAAAATAGACAAAGTGATGTGGGATAAAACAGACATTCTCCCCAGTGTTGTGGAGGGTCAGGCTGCTGGCCAAGGAGCGGGTGAGACTGACAGGTTCCGGGCAGTAACAATGGCAGCTCAGAAAGGACTTCTAGAGACCGGGCGGCTACTGAACATGTAGGTGGTCAGCCTTCCTGCCCTAAGTGGGAGCTCCACAGTGCTCTGAAATCAAATCCAAGGCAGGGATTGGGCCTTGGGCATCAGGTGTTGGTGAATTCAAACAAAGAGCCCCTATTTAGGAATGCCCTAAATCAAGAGATTACTATACTACTACTAACTCTTGGGAACTTATCCTACAGATATAGATGCAAATATGCTATCTATAATAGCAAAATCTGGAAAAAAACCAAGTATCTCTGACAGAGAATGAGTTATATATATAAATCATGGTAACGATAAGGTACAATGGAATAAGTATTCCATTATAAGTACAATGGAAGAGAAGGAGGACACTCTCTATTAGAAAGATCTAAAATATACTCAAAAGTGAAAAGAAAAAGACATAGAAGATTGTTATTGTAGTGTAACTTTTGTGTAAAAAGGGGAAAACAAAGATTACTTAGATGTAATTAAGAATAGTAGCAACTTAAAGATGGGGTTACTGGGAAGATGGGGGCAAAAAATAAACATGATTTTCACTGTGTCCCTTCCTTTTTTAAACAACTGCTGTTCTAAACCACATGAATGTATTAATACCAAAATTAAAATTTAAAAGTCTTTTAATTTAATGGATTATATATAAAAAGGTTTCAACAAGTCTGTGGAAAAATTCTATTACCTTTTAATTCCCTTTTCCCTCCAACTTTCTGAAGCTCCATCATGTGTATGTGTAAATATGAAGCTCACGGATCTACCAATCGCTCTGGAAGGGATCTCGTTAGAAGGGACCAAAGGAACCACTGTCATCAAGTCAGTTCTGACTCATAGTTTCCAAGGCTAGAAATCCTTCTTCAACTTGCTAGCTGAATTTTGGACATGGTACTTAATTTCTCTGAGATAAGAGACAAAGTAGGTCTTCAGAATGTGTAGCTATGCCTCAATCTTGCCCATCTAGTCTTTGTAATGATACAAATTAATCACTTCCCTCTTTGCTAAGTCAACTTTGGCTGTAACCAAACCCAATGAATTCCAAGTGCATCTATTACAGAAAGAAATATTACCAGCTTCATCTTATAGAAGCACCATCTTATAGCCACTTGGTCAAGGTGAAACCACACGGTGAGTAAGTGCCAGAGCTGGAACGGATCCTAATTTGTCCAATTCTGGAACCATGGCACCATTATCCAAGGCCAGGCTAGGCTCTCTTCGATAACCCTCATCCCAAACGGTGGCCCGTGAGCAATCATTTCCCTGGGAACACCTTCCCCAGCTAGGGGCTGTGCTGGTGGTGGCTAAGAGCCAAGCCCTGGAGTAAGGGGGCACCCAGCCTGGAGCCCCGTCTAGCGTACTCACCCCAACACCCGCCTGGCAATCTCGTTTGCCGTCTCAGGGGTGGCGCCCAACTGTGCTTGGCTCACCGCAGGGCGAGTCCACAAGTAGGAGTACACTGGGGAGACCAAGTCCTGCAGGCGGCAGATGTGACCCTGGGGAGAGAGGCAGACACTGAAGTCACTGGGGACAGAGTTCTCAACACTCTGAACAGGAAGGAATGGGAGTGTCCACCCAGTCCCCTGACTGCCCAGATCCCCTAACTGCACACCTGTCTCAGTAGGATGATCCTCTCCACATACGCTGGGTCGAGGACAGCCCGATCTGGCAGCTGGCTCCCAAACACCTCCTCCACAAGTGCCTGCAGCTTCTCCACCAACTGGCGCCTCTTGGCCTCAGTGCCCACCAGCCGCTGGAGGTGCAGCCTGCAGGCAAGGGCAAGGGACGACTATGAGAGGCCTCCCCAGTCCACCTACTGCTGCTCCCAAGGAAGCGGGTGAGGCCTGAAGAATGAGCTGGCTCTGCCAAAGGCGACAGGCAGAATCACCTTAAAGTCACCGACAGGTAGCCCGAGAGTCCCAAGCAAGCCGAAGACATGCTTTGTTTACAATATTTTAAAATAGCAGTGACATTTTAAACAAGAAGAGATGGCATTAAAACATTTTAAAAATAGATTTCTCTTCACCATGAGATCAGAAGAAGCAGCTATATCATTATTGAACATTTTGATCAAAAACTCTATACAGGAATCCTATAGAATTTCACATTCTTATGGAATCCTGTATGGAGCCAGGGGGGCTGGATAAATCCATGAAACTATTGCCTTGATATAACCTTAAACCAAACACATCCCATCACATGAGAATGTACAGTGACAGGGAAATTAGATGAATGGAAATAATGAGACTGTTCAGACATTGTGAAGCATGTAACCAATGTCACTGAAGAAACTGTGTAGACATTGTTGAATGGAATCATAAACTATGCAAACCTTCACCAGAACACTATAGAAAGTTATTTAAAAAAATATTTTCTGATGTCTTCTTTAAACCAAGCAATGTTGTTGGTAAGTGCTGTTGGAGTTGGTTCCAACTCACAGGACCATGTATAGGGTTTCTGAGGAGCGGCTGGTGAATCTGAACCATACCTTTCAGGTAGCAGTGTATTGCTATACCTACAGCGCTACATGAGCAGTCCCAATTAACTGATTAGTAAAGAATGTCTGCCTTGAGACTCTTTTAAGAGCTATCTATATGGGATCAACTTGACAACAACTTGAAAGGTTAGATAGGAAGATGAGAGGGCAGTGAAATGATGTTAATGGAGGAAGAACTCAGAATGGGAGGGTGAGACTAGCAGGACAGCCTGGAGAATGTAACAGCAAAGTCACTGAATGATGTATGTACAGATTGTTGAATGGGGGTATGGTCTGCTTTGTAGATTTCCAACTAGCATTACTACTGCTATGACAACTACTATGACCAGCTTTCTACCACTTATCTGTCACTTTGCATGTTGCTGTGATGCTGGGAGCTAGGCCACTGGCATTTAAATATGAGCAGGGTCACCCCTGGTGGATAGGTTTCAGCAGCACTTCCAGACTAAGATTACAAAGCAGGAAAGGTAGACTACTTCTGAATGGAAGCCACTGAAAACCTCATGAGTAGCAATGGAACACTGTATGATAAAGTGCACGATGATGAGTCCCCCAAGTTGTAAGGCCCTTAAAATAACAACTGAGAAAGGCATCCTTAAAGTAGAGGTGACCACAATGACATGAATGGCATAAAGCTTTCAGGACCTTCATTTGCTGATGGGGCACAATTCAAAATAAGCAGAAACTGCTGCAAACATCCATTAATATTTGGAACATGAAAATGTATTAAGTGTGAATTTAGAAAAATTAGAAGTAGTCAAAAATGAAATGGAAAGAATAAAGACCAATTTCCTAGTCATTAGTGAACTGAAGGGACGGGTAGCGGTCATTTTGACTCAGACAGACAATCACATGGTTTACTATGCCAGGAAGACAAAGTCAAGAGGAACAGCATTTCATTCATCGTTAAAAAGGACATTTCAAGATCTCTCTTGAAGAACAATGCTGTCTGTGATAGGGACAATATCCATATGCCTACAGGGAAATCAGTTAATACCACTATTATTCAACTTTACCCATCAACCACTAAAGCCAATATCAAAGAATTCTACCAACGTCTTCAGTCTGAAATTGATCAAACATGCAATCAAGATGTACTGATCATTATTGGTGATTGGAATGTGAAAGCTGGAGACACAGAGGAAGGATCAGTAGTTGGAAAACATGGCCCTGGCGATAGAAATGATGCTGGAGATTGCATGATAGAATTTTGCTATGACCAACAACTTACTCATTGCAAATACTTTTTTAAACAAAATAAAAGATGACTATACCCATGGATCAACTATCAACACTCAAGGAAGCAGCAGTCAAGAAATCAAACGATGTATTAGATTAGGCAAATCTTTTGCACAAGACCTTTTTAAAGTGTTGAAGAGCAAAGATGTCAGCTTGAGGATTAAGGTGCGCCTGACCCAAGCCATGGTATTTTCAATCACCTCATATACATGCGAAAGCTGTAGAAGAATTGATGCTTTTGAGTTATGATGTTGGAGGAGAATATTGAAAGTGCCATGGGCTTCCAAAAGAACCAACAGATCCGTTTTGCAAGAAGTGCAGCCAGAGTGCTCCCTGGAGGCCAAGATGGCCAAACTTCGTCTCTAATACTTCAGACATATTATCAGGAGGGACCAGTCACTGTAGAAGGATATCATGTTTGGTAAGGTGGAGGGTCAGAGAGAAAACGAGGAAGACCCCCAACAAGATGGATTGGCCAAATGGTGGCATCGATGGACTCAAGCGTGGCAACAGTAGTGAGGATGGCCCAGGATCAGGCAGTGTTTCGTTCTGCTGTGTATAAGGTTGCTATGGGTTGGTACCGACTTGATGGCACCTAACAACAACAACAGCAGTACCCATGAACCTCACCAGATGGAATACACAGGAACCAAACTGACTACCTCTATGGGAAGAAATGGTGGTAAAGCTCCATATCATCGGCCAAAACAAGGCCAGGGACTGACTGTGGAACAGACTATCAACTGCTCATATGCAAGTTCAGGATGAAACTGTCGAAAATTAAAATACGTTCACAAGTGTTCAAATATGACCTTGAACATATTCCACCTGAATTTAGAGAGCTCAACAACAGATTTGATGCATTAGACACTAATGACTGCAGACAAGAAAAGTTGTGGGATGATGTCAAGAATATCAGACATAAAAAAATAAAAAGGTCATTAAAGAGACAGGAAAAAAAGAAAACACAAAAACGGATGTCAGCAAAGACTTTGAAACTTGCTTTTAATCGTAGAGAAGCTAAGTGAATGGAAGAAATGAGGACGATATGGCACAATAGGATCAGCACTGGACTTCGAACCACAAGGCTGGCAGTTCAAACCCAGCAGCTGCTCCTTAGAAACCCCATACAGGGTCACTATGAGTCAGAACCTACTCGACAGCACATCCCAACAACAAAAGAGTTGAACAGAGAATTTCAAAGGGCAGCTTGAGAAGACAAGCATTACAATGAAATGAGAAAGAACCTGGAATTAGAAAACCAAAAGGAAAGGACGGACACTCAACATTTCCAAAGCTGAAAGAATTGAAGAAAAAATTCAAGCCTCAACTTCAAATACGAAAGGATTCTATGGGCAAAATATTGAGTGATGCAAAAAACATCAAAAGAGGGCGGAAGGAATACTCAGAATCACTGGACCAAAAAGAAATGGTAGATGTTCAGCTCTTTCAAGAAGTAGCATATGATCAAGGACCCATGAAAACCAAGGCTCTGGGAATTGGTGGAATACAAATCGAAATCTTCCAACAAGCTGATGCAGCATTCGAGGCACTTACCCATCTATGCCAATAAATTTGGAAGACATCTACTTGGCCAACCAATCAGAAGAAATGTCTATTTGTGCCCATTCCAAAGAGCGGTAACCCAGCAGAATGCATAAATTATCAAACAATATCATTAATATCACAATATGAGTAAAATTTTGCTGGAGATTATTAAAATATGGTTACAACAGCGCATCGACAAGGAACTACCTAAAATTCAAGCCAGATTCAGAAGAGGAAGCAGAACTAGGATTATCATTGCTGACATCAGAAGGATCTTGGCTGAAAACAGAACACCAGAAAGATGTTTACTTGTGCTTTATTGACTATGCAAAGACTTCTGACTGTGAAGATCATGACAAAGTTTGAATAACATTGCAAAGAATGGATATTCCAGAACACTTAATTGTGCTCATTAGGAACAAGTACATAGACCACAAGTCAGTTGTTAGAATAGAACAAACGTTTCCCGAATGGCTTAGTATCAAGAAAGGCGTATGTCAAATTATATTCTTTCACCATATAAAAAATCCAAGGAGCTGGATTCTATGAAGAACGTGGCATCAAGATTGGTGGTGGTGGTGGTGTGCCGTGGAGTCGGTTCCGACTCATAGCAACCCTGTACAGGGTTTCCGAGGCTGTAAATCTTTACAGGAGCAGAAAGCTTCATCTTTCTCCCATGGATCAGCTGGTAGTTTTGAACTGCTGACCTTGCAGTTCACAGCCCGTAACCACTACACTACCAGAGCTCCTAATGAGGATTGGTGGAAGGCAAATTAACAACCTGCAATATGCAGATGATACAATCCTGACTGCTGGAAGCAAAGGGGGTTTAACATACTTACTGATGAAGATCAAAGATAACAACCTTCAGTATGGCTTACATCTCAATGAAAAGAAAGCAAAAGTCTTCACAATTGAACCAATACATAACATCAAGATAAAAGGAGGCAGCAAGATGGCAGACTAGGCAGAAAGGCTGTACAGACCTTCTATAATAAGATATGGAGGAAGCGGATGCAGATGGCAGTCCTGGAACTCTGAGCTTCAAATGAAGGGACAGACTGGACTGAATGCTTACTAGGAGAGGTGAGCAGACACAGCAAAAATGGAGATTGTTGATATGAGCCTGCAAACAGACAGGCACAGCCATCTTGAGATTCTGTGAGTGCTTTCAGCGGTAAGAAAACTTACCAGTGTTGCTGAAACATATTTGTGACTCCCAGAAACAAAGCTGTGATTTTTTTTTGTTCCCCACACTTCCCTAGTGACCCTCTAGAGGTGAGAATAGCCCCCACCCGCATACTTCCCTAACATTATGAAGGACAAGAAGATCACCATTCAAGAAGCTGAACGAACCCCAAACAGGACAGACTCCCAAAAGAAAATCACCAAGACAAATCATCATCAAACTCTCCAAAACCAAAGACAAGGAAAGTATCCTGAAAACAGCTCAGGGAAAACGAAAAGATACCAATAAAGAGAACCAGTAAGGTTAAGTTCTGATTTCTTAGCAGAAAGCATATAAGCAAGAAGGCAGTGTGGATATATATACAAAAGTATAAAAGAAACTGCCAACCAAGAAGCATATACCCAACAAAATTATCCCTTAAATACGATGGCAAATTTAAAATATTTCCAGATAAACAGAAATTAAAGGGATTTGTAAAAAAACAGACAAATCTTACAAAAAATACTAAAGGGAATCCTTCAGACTGAGAACCAACAACAGCAAACAACAAACAGAGACTGACATGCACGGCCACAGCACGCAGAATTCAATCCAGATAGGGAAGTATCTAAAGCAAAACAAAAGTTAAAAGACAGAAAATAGGGAATCAGAGCTATCAATTTATATAAAGACAACAACAGAGCAAAAAGAGGGAAAAGTATAGTTACAGAACTTCTAAATGGTATTGAAGTCAAGTGGATTTCAAGATAAAACAGACTGTTTTAAACTGGGGAAGAAATTAATAAATCACAGTTTAACTTCAAAGAAATTTAGTACACTTTTGTATCAAATCAAGAAAATGGAAAACCATAATGACTTTGTAAACTGTAAAGCAGCAGCAGTGAAGGAAATACAAGAAAACAAAACGAACTCAGCGCAGAAAAATATGAACAAAGAACAGAGCAGCACTCCACACACACAAAAACACACAGCAAAATGACAGCACGCAGTTCCTAACTATCCATAATGACACTAAACATCAATGGATTAAATGCACCAGTCAAGAGACAGAGAGTAGCAAGATGGATAAGAAAACAGGATCCCAATATGCTGTCTACAAGACACACACCTTACACACAATGACAAAAACTGATTAAAAATCAAAGGATAGGGGGAAAAAAATCAAGCTGATGGCAATCCAAAACTAGCAGGAGTGGCGATATTAGTTTCTGATAAAATAGACTTTAAGGCAAAAAACAAGCATAAGAGACAGAGAAGGACTTGATTAAAGGACATCATGATTAAAGGGACAATTGAACAAGAAGACATAACCATAATAAATAAATACGCTCACAATGATCAAAGAGTCTCAAAATACATAAATCAGACTCCAATAGAACTGAAAAAACAAACAGACAACTCTACAATAATTGTTGTTGTTAATTGCTATTGAGTTGGTTCCAACTCATAGTGTCCCTGTGTGGGTTTTAAATCTTCATGGAAGCAGACAGCCTTATCTTTCTTCTGCAGAGTTGCTGGTGGGCTCAAACCGCAGACCTTGTGGTTTATCATCCAACGCTTATCCTATGGAGTGGCAGCACTCCATACAGTAATAGAAGATTTTCATACATCACTTTCCATAAAGGAGAGAGCAACTAGAAAGAAACTCAACAAAGACACAGAAGGACTAAACAATGCAATCAACCAACAAGACGTCATAGATTTATACAGCACACTCAACCCAACAACAGCACAACACACACTCTTTTCCTATGCACATGGAACATTCTCCAGAATAGACCATATGTTAGACCACAGAGCAAGCCTCAGTAAATTGAAAAGCATCGAAACACTACAAACCATCTTTTCAGATCACAATGCTATAAAATTAGAAATCAACAATAGGAAGATCAAGGAAACAAAACCAAATACCAGGAAACTGAATAGTACCCTGCTGAAAAGTTACAGGGCAATAGAACAAATGAAAAATGTCCTTGCCTCAAATGAGAAAGAAAACACAACATACCTTTGGGACAGCACAGCTAGGCAGTACTTAGAGAGCAATTGATAGCAATAAATGCAAACATCCAAAGAGAAGAAATGAACCTACCATGTGTGACTCGGGTCCACATGCTTCACTGCATTACTCCCTATGACATCAACAAGAAAACTCTTCTCCACACCAAGTCTCCATGTTCCCCACTCACCTGTTAAATTCTGGAAGCTTCTCCAGGTCCAGCAGGGCTGAGTGGCACGTGATCCGGGTCAGGTCAAACTGTGTTATCATCTCTGGCAAGGTCCTGCCCATCTGGTTCTCTGCAAGTGAGGCAGGGCCAGTTACTCGTCCACGTCCCTGCCCTTCCTCATCCCCTCACCATGGGACTCACACGGGGGCTTTCCAATGCAAAGGGGGAGACGGGTGAGCTCTGAGCTGCCATTTCCCTCAAACCAGGAGGATTCAACTGCTAGCCAGTCTGGAGCTCAGGGCTCAAAAGCAGCTTTCCTTTTTCATAAGGAATTTGCTACTAAGGAAAAACAAGTTTGACAACCACCAGGTTAAACCAATCCTTATTACCTTCAATAGGGTCATCTATAGATGCGCTCACCCTGCTGTCTAATTGTACCCCTAGAGATTAGGGTTCCATTGGTTTGGGATGGAATTTGTCAGCATATTTTACAAGCTCTTTAGGTGATTTAAAAATGGAGTCAGAGGTCATTTGAAAGTGAGCTCTATTCTTAACAACCTGTGTGATTTTGGCAAATTACTCAACCTCTCTGAAGTGGGGGTGATAGCCAGCTACTTCTCCAGGATGAATGAGGATTAAATAAGAGCAAAATAAATGATATGCAGACCATTCTCATTCTATTTTCAGAAATCCCCTCTGAAATCCTATTGAGTATCCCTTCAAGGTCTGTGCTGTTAAGTCTTGGGCCAAGGGCAAGGGCTCAGCTTGGAATAAACTAGAGTCCTTCCCTGCTACTGTAGACATGCATGCTTATGTTGTTGTTGCTGTTAAGTGCCAACAATTACAGTAATAATAAGATCACAGTAACAACATAACTGTAATCATTTAAAAACCTGACGTTCTTTGTGCTCGCTACATGGCAGGCATTGCACTAGGTGTTCTACACTCATGAGCTCAGGGAATCCTAATTTCACTCTCTGAAGCTGATACTTAGTACCATTTTACAACTGAGGCTCAGTGACCACAGGGCACGGATGATGTCTATATTGGGCACTGTTGTAGCCCCAGCCCTCAACACAGAATCTGGATCAATGACCATTCGCTGAAGGAGAGGATGAACTTGCTCAAATCATGCAGCTGGTAGGTGGCCAAGTTGGGACTGAAGCCCAGGTCTGCCTAAACCAAAGCCCACACTCTCCACTATTCCCCACTCTGGCCACTGTGCCTTCTCAGGGGAGTTGTTGTTGTTGTTGTTGTGTACTGTGGAGTCGGTTCCGACTCATACCTGCAAACCCTGAGCCACAGTTGGTGATGATGTCAAGCAAGGCATCTGGCAGGAAGCCGGCTGTGGCAAAATGCTCCAGGAAAATGTCACCTTGCCGCTTGGACAGCTTGCTGCCATCCCTGTTAAGCAGAAGGGGCAAGTGGGCAAAGTGAGGTGGTCGCCATCCCAGGGCTTGGTAGATGAGCAGGTGCTTGGAGGTGGAGATGAGCCACTCAGAACCCCGCAGCACGTGGCTAATGCCCATGTGGTGGTCGTCCACCACACAGGCCAGGTGGTACGTGGGAAAGCCGTCACTCTTCAGGATGACTGGGTCTCCCTCCACACTGGACACTTCATGCCGACTCCAGCCATACACCAGGTCCTGGAAAGCCGGTGCCTCCTCCACCAGGCGGAAGCGGACAGCAGGCCGGGGGTTCTCAGCAAGCTTCTGGGTCACCTGCTCCTGGCTCAGGTGCCGGCACCGATTGTCATACCTGTTGCGAAGTAGAGCAGCATCAGCACCAGACGATGGACTTGAGACCCAGCTGTCTCTAAGCCATTGACCTTTATTCAAGGCAGAAGTGAGCATGTGGTGTGGGAAGACTGTTGTCAAAGACACATTAGTGACACCTAGTGGGCAGATTTGAATGTTTGCCTACATTCCATCCATTCGTATTTTCTTCCAGTTCACCAGGAAATGTCAAAATGCTGAATTCAAGGAACTGAACCAGCTGGGAGCCAACCCTGGCAAATTTATTTCAAGGAGTTTTTTTCCCAAAGGCGGGTGCGGCGTCAGCGGAAAGAATTACACAGAGTCAATAAGTTGTAATGAATTCAAAAATCTTATTACATGCTTTATTCTTCTCTCATTCTTTACTCCCCTGCTCTCCTGCTCATCTCTTCTCTCCTCCCTCCTTTCTTCCTATATGCTTTATTATCCTTCCACTTACTCCTTCTCTATTCTCCTTCTCCCCTCCTGCTACATTTCTTCTTACACTCCTTCTTCCTCTCTACATTACTCTTTTCACTCTTTTTCCTTCTACATTACTTCTTACACTACTCCTTCTTACCTCCTCTTTCTTCCTCTCTACATTACTTCTTCTTTACCTTCCTTCTTTCTCGTACTTCCTCCTCTTCCCCATTCTTCTTCTCTACATCACTTCTCTCACTCCCTCCATTCTTTTCTTCTTCTCTACATCACTTCTCTCACTCCCTCCATTCTTTTCTTCTTCTCTA